AGATGATGTTTGAGGTTTTCTTTTAAGCGTCATATTTGGAAGCCATTTTGTCACGAATTCAATCGAAAGAAATAAGCCGATATCATGAGCAAACAATTTTTTCTGTTTTTTTTTTTATCTTCTTTCATCCGGTCAGTTTGTTATTCCGTTTAAAATAATACCAAATAATAAGGTTCTTTTTTATCCACCAATATTTGTATAAGTTAAACGTGATATTGCACAGATTCGTCTTTAAGTGTATCCTTGTATGCGTTCTGTAACCATCTGTGATAGATTTCACGTAGCGAGAAGGGATTTATATTACCTGCCCACAAAACCAAATGATAGTCATTTCTGCATGCGGATAGGTAACAGGTATGAATGCGAGCGTTACGTAGTGGTTCTTCTTTAATGTGCCGTGTTCCTTCAGGACCTAAGAGATCAAGGCCCTCCACGTCTTCCTGTCTCTTTTAGCTCTTAATAAGTTTTTTTTTTCTTTTTGTTAATTCTCCCAAACTCTGTTACGCCATCCATTTGCTCAAGTTCATCAAACACGTTATGCTCTGCTTTCCTTTGCCCTTCTTCTCCTCAGTCTCTCCTGTGAATATCAGATTTTTCAAGCTCTCCTTCGTCAGTACCTGTCCCAGAAATTTCAACTGCCTCTTCCCAATGTTCACTTTCCTTTTTGTTTGCATTCTCTCCAAAACTTCGTTCTTGCTCACATCTCCAGTCTATGGTATCCTCAGCATCTTTCTGTAGAGCCACATTCTGTTGCTTTAAGTCTCTTATTAATCTTTGATGAGATTGTCCAGCATTCGCTGCCATACAGGAGGACAGATATCATGAAATAGTTAAGTACAATTTTCTTTGTTTCTAGCGATTTTTTTCTGTCTCTTAATATCCTGCTTAGCTTTTGAAAGGTATCTTTGGCCATCCCAAGACGTCTTCGAACCTCAGTGCCCCACTTTCTGTCTTCCTTTAGAATACTTCCTAGATATTTAAATTTCTGTACTTGTTTGATTTTAGTATCCTCGTTTGGTAATTGGCATTTGGGGCACATCCTTTTGCCAATGAGTTCGAATTCTAGGTGTTATGGCCCAGGTACTTGTACCACGGTGATGGTCCAAGGTAGAACCAATAAAGAAGAACTCGAACACGGATATGGAATAACACAGATATACTACAAACAGGAATATATACAGAGAAATAGAAAGTGTTAGTCCGAACAATCAGGTTCCAATGTCTTGTAGTAATTGTCTGAACGCGACTCTGTTTCGGACTTCCTCTGACTCGACTGACTGACTCGCTCGCTCTAACTGACTGACAGACTCCTGACCGACTTCACTCCAGACTTCAGACTGAACTCTCTGCTTCCTCTTGAGGCGCAGTATTTATTACGTATGGAATAGTCCATTATGTTATTATGAGTAAGGTCCCATAACACTAGGCAAAGTAGTTAGGTTCATTTTCCGCAAAAACATTTTGCAATGTATGAATCAATCACTCTATTCATCTAGAAGATGATAGCAGGGTAGATTGGTCTCACTAGCCTTGGGTCTTCTTCCATTCATGGATCACAATCAAAATCATAATGTCTGTTACCACGTTAATTTTGAAGGCCATAAACATTTTTCGTAGCTGTGATTGTGCTTACCCAGAGTTACACAATTTCCAGTTGAGAGTTCTCCTTCCCCTAGACCTTTTGCCAACCTCGTCTAGGGGACCCAGTCCCAAAGATGAAGGGAGCAGAGATGGATCTATAATATTTCTAATAGGAATATATACTTGAAAAACAAAGTGGATAAAATAAGTAAAGGTTTATTGTAAAAAAACAATACAATAAGAATAAAGGTAACAGTTATTCACAAGGTGGTCGCAATAGTCAATGCTACTATTGGAAGATCTGTAGTTCTCGCGTAAGTTTGAGTCGTACTCAACAGATCACAGCTAGACAATATTTACCAACCTCCCCACGGGGTAGGATATGGCACAAGGCCGAATTTAATGTGAGGCATCCGAGCCCCGTAGGCTCGGCCAAAAATTCCCCATAACTCCACATAAACGGGTTCGGGTTTGTCTACCTTCCTGGACGAGACTCTGTCCTTCGGTATAGCTTCGTCTGGGTTCTCCTCTGCCCGAAGGCAGAGAGTTCGGCAATAGCCAAGATCTGAGTAACAGATCCCAGCTAGCCTATGTAGTCCGTTGACTTATAGATAAAGAAGTTACTACCTATAGTGCAGTCACTAATGGGGGTGACAGTTTATTCCATTACATTAGGAATATAACTAACTCGGTTAGATTTCAAGCTCGGCAATCAGACTTGAGGAAGAACAATTTGAATTTAATACCGACCTGAAGAGGAAAGGTTTCCACCCATTTACCTTGCCCGACGGCTGTCCTAAATATGGGGCCGCTGGTTTAAAACAAGCATGATGTGAAGTGAAGAGGTCCTTGTTATGTCTTACCTAACACTTTTATTTAATATAGAAAATACTTAGCCAACGTTCTATACCAAAATAATCTAATTCATTTGTATAATTCATTCTAGATGTTTGCATTACACTTTTTGAGCTAGGTTCAAAGTGTAGTATCGACACAAGGAGGCACGGCGGAGTAATGGATAGCGGCTCGGATTGAGGAATCGGAGAGCCGAGTTCGAATTCCAGTCGAATCTATTACATTCACATACGTGGGAAAAGTATGAATCCTCTTCTTCTTCTCCCAGCTTATGAGTAAATAGCAGATCAGAACGGATTCTATAGCCTTTTCTACCGCAGAAAGTAACGGCAAACCACTTAGGGGAAAAAACTGCCTCGTCAGTCATGTATCGAAATATACATGATCGCATAAGCGTGTATCACGTATAGCACATAGCTGACTGATTGAGTCAATCCCTGGGACCCCTGTCCTGGAAAGACTTACGCTTTTCGACTGAGACTTATACATACTCATTTTAAATTGGAGAGATTTGAGTAAAAAACTAATGGTTCAAGTATAGTATCCTGGTCTATACCAGACTATTCTGAGCTGAGGTCGCTTTCCGACTAAGACAGATACATTATTTTGTTAAAATAATTTAGGGAGAGCAGAGCAAAGTTAATATAAACGAGGAAACATTGTAGCTTTGATATATATTCCGATTTTGCATCTTTTGTGCTGGTGCATAATTATCAGGCGTTTTGTAGGAAAGTTATTTGTTAATAAAAATTGCTATTTTGTTTCCTTTTTTTTAATAAAAAATATTATTTTATTTTCCGTATCGATAATCACACGCTCCAGAATAATCATTTAAAAATGTTATTGTCGAATTGTTATGTTTCTTTTTTCAAAATAAATATTGTTAAAGAACGCCTGATAATTATGCACCAACCCGATATAACTAATATCTCTTTGTATGATATTTACATATCAATATGAGCCTGTAACGATGATTTGGAGGGGGAAAGGAGAAGGAAGAGAGTGAGAAGATATTGTGTGTAACTTATTATTTTCTTCCTCATAACTGCTTTCCCACAGGCGAAACGTAGCGAGACCCTCTAGGCTCTATTGCTATTTCTATGGAAAGTGTTCAGGCGAACTACATGGCTTAGTTGCACTAATTTCAAGCTTCACGGGTAAGACCCACCAGGCCAGGCACATTTTAGCGAACCACACTCATTTCATTCGTATTCCATATATGAATTGCATGTTCCTCTCAAACAGCCTCTTCCTACGCAACACATTCAGATTATTATATTCATCTCCATTGGTGCACTTCCAAAAATTTAGCCGACCAGAAACTGGAAGCTGTTCTAACCTCTGACCAAGATTTAACATCTCAGTGGGGGGGGGGTTATATTCAATGTCTGGAAAATCAAAGTATTTACATTCTGTCACTAATCACAATGAAGGGACGTTGCTTCAGAGAGGCCTCATACCTTGAAGACCTTTTGGGCCGTAAACTCAATCCAGATCCCAAGACAAGCTTGTATTAGGTTGGTGCAAAAATAATGACGTAACAATGTCGTTTTTTGATGTATTTTTTAACGTCAAAAAACGACATTATTACGTCATTATTTTTATATGTCAACCTAATACATACTAACCACCGCAAAAGATGCTGGATAAATGCTCGCTTCCAAGGACCATTCCAGTAAATATCTGACTCCTCCTGCTACCCTAAACTTTTACAAGAACCAGATCCGGATAAAAATGGAGGACAGCTCGTATATACAGGAAGGAGCTGCCCAGTCTTCACTTTTTAGTCTCGATAGAATCCAAAAACGTCTCTGCTTGCTTGTAAGTGAAAGATTATGAACAACCCCGATGAAAAAAAAACAAAAAACAAGCTCACAGACGAAAAATCACAAGCCTTTCATTATTCTGCCGCTATTTCCACGAAAAGTGCTCAACCGAATTTCATTCATTAGTTCCTGATATGCCACGCACATTGTAGTGAACCACCTTCATTCTCTCCGTATTCTAATTGTGACTTGAAAGTCTCCATTCGAACAGCTTTTTTCCCCAACTACCGGTCCTAATCTTGGCCTGTTCATCTTCCCGTCACAGCCCAACAATTTGAACCTCTTACACTGTAAACTTTGTGTGGCTCGTAAATGGTGGACATCATTGTAAAAAAAATGACTCTTTGATAATCTCGAAAATTGGTCGTTCAAATGCCATTCCAAATGTTTTCTTATAAAACGGTCTTCAATTCCATCTTTCCTGATCGGCATCAGCTGCATCGTTGAGCGGTCCTTAAGTTCGCCCGTGAGGTTTCAACGGCGATTTTACAATAAGTGGGAAGCTAAATGACGTAGGGATTAAAATCCGAATGAGTGGAGACTGAATATCATAGGGTATACGATTAAAAAAGAAAGCTTTCAGTAGATACGAAGAGATTGCTCGAACATTATGAACGCGACGGCCGCTACGTACATTCAGTGTCACTACGAAGTAATTAACCCCACTGAAGAGAGTCTGGTCGCCCATGAACAGTAAATTCCCTTCCGATAGTTTGCCATATTATTTATATATCTTAGCCTATCTATCTATCTATCTATCTATCTATCTATCTATTTTAGCCTGCTTATGTATCGATCTTTCTATTTCTTAACTTCTTTAGCTATCTATCTTAGCCTCTCTCTCTATCTATATATGTATCGACCTATTGGTATATCTTAGCCTCTTCATCTGTCTGTGTATTAAATTATCTTAGCCGCTTTATCTATGTAACTACGTATCTATGTTAGCCTCTTTATGCATCTATGTATTGAGCTATCTATTTTAGGACCATTATCGATATATCGATTTATCTTAGCCTCTTTATCTACCTAATTATCTTAGACTATCTATCTATCTATCTATCTATCTATCTATCTATCTATCTATCTATCTATCTATCAGCCTCTTTATCGGTCTGTATAGATCTATCTATCTTAGCCCCTTCATCTATCTATCTATCTATCTATCTATCTATCTATCTATCTATCTATCTATCCTAGCCTCTTTATCTATTTAAGTAACCTTATATCGATCTTATATCTATCTATCTATCTATCTATCTATCTATCTATCTATCTATCTATCTCAGTCTTTCTTTATCTATCTATCTATCTATCTATCTATCTATCTATCTATCTATCTATCCTAGCCTCTTTACTATTTAAGTATCGTTATATCTATCTTAATATCTTTATCTATCTATCTATCTATCTATCTATCTATCTATCTATCTATCCTAGCCTCTTTATCTATTTAAGTATCCTTATATCTATCTATCTATCTATCTATCTATCTATCTATCTATCTCTGTGAAATGCAGATCGCTTTCCCAGATCTATATGGTAATAATATCGCAAACACTTTTATTTTGCCAAGTCATTTTGAGATAGCGATCTATTTTGGAAGCTGTTCGCAACCAGCGTCAACACGAGATAATGGAATCCTCTTAGATAAGCCGCGCCGGAAGTACTTTCGTATTATAGGAGCTAGGGGTCAATGTAAACTCACTAATAAAAAAAAACAAAAACAAAAAAAAAAACAAGAAAAAATTCCGGATATTTTTAACTGTAAAAACAAAGATATGTCACGACTGTTAATAAAAAAATGTACGTACATGCTATACACGCAGCGAAGCCGACATACATGTACATATATATATTTATACACAGCGAGAGAGAGAGAGAGAGAGAGAGAGAGAGAGAGAGAGGGAGGGAGGGAGAGAGAGAAATCGAGACACAAAGAACGAGACAGGGTTAGAGAGAGAGAGAGCGAGAGAGAAATAAAGAACAACAAGAGAGAAAGGGATAAAAATATCCCAGAGTGCACACATTTCAATACTAGAGTTTAAATGTACAGTAGAAATATTTTAAAATTAAAAACTGATATATATATATATATATATATATATATTTTTGCATATATATATATATATATATATATATATATAATGTATATTTGTCCATATATATACATATATATATATATATATATATATATATATATAAGCAAAATGACACCCCCCAAAACACACGTGTGTGTGTGTGTTTTCGAGCATAACATGATGGGACAGAGCATCTTACTTATTATAAAAACAGGTTGGTGTGTGTGTGTGTGTGTGTGTGTGTGTGTGTGTGTTTATATGTTGGATCGGATTTCCTACATTTTTCAACCGATTTCAACAAAACTTCACAGGGCTGCTTAAAATTACCTTGCAGTAGTTCTGACGGCGCCCAAAGTTGGAAAAACACCATTGTTTTTGCACGATAACAATTTGAAAACACGATTCTGTCGCAAGAATGAAAGGGGGACAACTCATATCGAGTTATACTTATTATAAAACCCAGGTTATTTGTGTGTGTGTGTGTGTGTGTGTGTGTGTGTGTGTTCGTTCGTTTATATATGGGATCGGATTTCCTACATTTTTCAACCAATTTCAACATACCTCACTTTTTTTTGGCAGGTAGTGTTTCTAATTGTCTTGCACACTTTTTTCTTTATTTTTACATTCAGAATGACAAGACAATTGTTTATAATAAAATTCTATTCAATTTGTAGACTCACAGCGATTGAAAACAATGTTTTTGTTTGAGTTTGGGCTTGACCAATTCGTAAAAAAATAAAAAAAATAATTAAGACATGCGTTTCCGTCATCCTTAAACAATAATCTTTGTCAATTTTATTTTTCAGTCTTTATGATAGTCGATACTTGATCTATCTCTTACTGTTACATCCCTGGGCAACGCCGGGCTCTACTGCTAGTTTAAGATAAAAAAGGCCATTTAATATCTGCTCGTGTCCTAAGTTACAATGATGGTATTTCGAGCTTGAGAATGATTCGAATCTCATCATGGTGACCTCTTGATATTTTCTGTCAGAGGTAGTGACTCAATTGTGCGGCATCCTTGGAAAATACCTGTCAACATCTTCTGTATTGAGCCAAGCATTTGTAAGGGAACTTCGGTAGCAGTGGCAAATGTTCGGGAGCCAATGATGGTTGTGCTACCGCAATGTGTACAATTGTGACAGGAGGTTCCAGCACCTCTCTTCTCGAAACTGTAATTAAGAATAGTTTTATTTTTAATCATTTCACCCGAAGAAACGCAGTAAAGGCACCGAGTTTTACTGAGGCTGAGATATGAGGTCTGATGAAAAAAAATCTGGACTGGTGTTATAAAATCAATACTACAACAGATAGCAATTCGGTATGTAATCTCCTTCGAAGTAGTCCCATTTTGAAGCCACATCCAGTGAGTTTTTTTTCCATTAATGGTCCATTCTTTTTTGAATCAGCTGCCGCGTCACATATTGGATTTCTTTGATGTCTTGAAATCATGTTCCTTTCAAATGGGATCTGATCTTTGAAGACGAAAACTCATAAGAGCAGAAATATGGGTGATACGGAGGTTATCTGACTTGGGGTATGTAGTCCTTAGCCAAAAACAGCTGCACAAAACACGGAAGCTCTGTGGTGAGGTGAGACGACCACACTCTACATACCTTCCTTCCAAACACTACTATAAACAACAAAATTAAACGAGAACGTTATAACATTGTATGCTGGACAAATGTTCAAGGTCAATCTGGGTCAAGAGACCGCACGCTGCGTACATTAACTCCGTTACCAGAGCAAAAGTCCCGATATATTTAGAAAGGACATCGTGATTTTGGAAAATGAAAATATTTAATAAAAGAACAGCAATGAAAAAGGCAGAAGATAACGATTGACATTGCATCTAAACCTTTGAATAACAAAGTTGACTTGAAAGCAAGAAGAGTGAAGAGTGATTTCCACAAGCGAGAAGTGCGTGAGATAAAATATAGCTGACTGGTGTACTTACAGAACGAGTTTCCAGGCATCATATATATATATATATATATATATATATATATATATATATATCTCAAAGTGAATATTGAAGTCAACACTTATGGCGATAGGCTGTTTCATGCTACACGCAATCGTCAGGTGGCCTGAGGATTGTGTCTAGCATGAAACAACCTGTCGCCTTTAAGTGTTGACTAAGTTCAATGTTCACTTTATATTTACCCACGCTTTATCTCTGATATTGAGCACTTTATCCCATAAATATAGCACACCTTAAGATATATATATATATATATATATATATATATATATATATATATACAGAGAGAGAGAGAGAGCGAGAGATAGATAGATAGATATAGATATAGATAGAACCTTCACTTAAATGTACTTGTTTCGAAAGCAGTCGGCATATCCTGATTATGTTTCCATCAGTAAGACAGAAAATCTTATGTGAACCAAATTACCCCTTCCAGACCAAATATTATCGAAAATAAAATCTAAATCTACAAGGAAAAGATTCCCACGAGAAAATATCTAAATTATTAACGCGTTTGGGAAACTAATCAATAAGGGCATTTCTAAAACACTTATTCCACATAATATATATATATATATATATATATATATATATATATATATATATATATATATATATATATATATATATATATATATATATATATATATATATATATATATATATATATATATGTGTGTGTATGTGTGTGTGTAAAATTTTCAGATAGATTATATCAATTAAAGCTCAATATGAATAAAGTCAAAAGGATAACTTATCTAAGCCGACGCGTTTCGTCCTCTTTGGGACTTTATCAATTCAAATGTGAGGTTTTAATTAGTAAAAAATATTATTGGTCTTCACAAATTTCTTGACATAGGAACGCTCATAAATATTCATCGGGTTAACTGAAAAAACAGGCAATTTATGGAGGACAGGAAGTGATACAATTCAATGTCTAATAAACTAATAAGTCAGTGATTTTATTTCGTATATGCACAAATTAGTATTTGAATTAATTTAGGTTGGACTCTATTTATGTGTTAGATATTTGAATGACATGTGGTTATGGAGTTAACCGTTTTCTTTTAATTTTTTAGCATTTTTCTTATCATATATATTGGATTAGAAAAGTATTAATTCTTTCAGAGATGGAGATATTGGAAAACATCTGAGGCGTAGATTTTTATTTTGATAAGTTTCGATAGCGGTACTTTCGAGAACTTTCTTCTAAGTAAGTTCTCTTTTTCATAAGTGTGGCATTCTTTAGATGGACGTTGTGGTTGATTTTCTTTTGTATAACTAATGCATTTGATAATTCTTTGCGTATAAGATCTCGTTGTGTTCATAGATACATTCTTTTAAACTTCTGCTAGTTTCACCAATCTATTGTGAGGAGCAGTTCTGGCAATGTATTTTATACATACCAGCTTCAGTATTATTATACTTGCGAGTACTTTTGGTTCTGATCATATCCATAATAGCTTTGGAGTTAGGTAGTATTATATATATGTTTTAGGTAGCTGATAGCTCTAAATAATATGGTTATCTTCTTCGTATATTTTGTATGCCTTTCTTCTAGCATTGTGGATTAAATCATAAGTATATTGGAGATTTTTGAAATTGTTTTCTATGCATATTTCTTCTTTGGGTAAGTACGGGGTGGGGCTGAATCTTAAATGGAATCCTATAATTATTCCCGATTTGATCTTGTTACAATGTTGGGAGTAAAAATTGACCAGGTCATTGTTGTTAGTACTTTTTTTTTTTTCTGTAAACCTCAAGCTGAAGTAAGTTGTTATTTATGTGTAAGTGTTGTTAAATTCAGCTTCAAAGGTAAAGTTTGTTCTGAGTCCGTCATTATTTAGTTTGTTGACATGATCGACTAATATTATGTCTAGTGGATATATTAATAGAGAATTATCTATGTATCTGAATTAACAAAAAATTGTGAAATATTTTGAGAGGACCATTTTCTAGAAATTTTCTTTTCGCCACTTAGAGGAGACCCCATCGGTAAACTAAATTTCTATCCATAAAAATTGTTAACAAACTTGAGAAATCATTGATTGGTGATTAAGTGGTATACTTTTAGGATTTTATATGTGGGGATAGTTAAGCGTGTTTTTAATAAAGTTAGATATTGCTTTATAGGGACATTTGTGTATAAAAATTTAATATCTAAACTAGTCATACATAACTTTTTGATTTTTATGTTATTTAATTTAAGATATAACCAAAGTTTTTCTTCATATGCCAGGAAAACACCTATCTTGAGTAGACGGTTAACAGAACATGGATTACAAGATATAGCAAAAGGCCAATGTCTCCGAAGAGCTACAAAGGACAGAAGATTGTGGAGGGCGATGGTCGCCCACCTCCTGTAGATACATGGCCTATAGAAGTATAATATGAGATTATATATATAAAAGGCAGAATGTGTGTGTGTGTGAGTGTGTGTGTGTAACG